TAATGCATTTAATATAATGGTAAAATTTGGGAAAATGAGTAATGCTGCTGTAGCAATGGACTTTAGCTTTTGCTTGAAGAACAGAAATTCAAGTTCAGTAATAACCAGCATGTGTAGACTACAGTGCAACTCAGTAGTCAAAACAGTGGCTTAAACTGAATTTACAGCTGCTGAGATACAAACAGGGGCTTTCTCTTCCTTTTTGTATTCTTTCCTGTTTATAGCAGCTTCCTGAGAAGATTGATTGTCCTACAGGCAAGTAGGAAATGAAGTAGCATGTGAATAGAGAGGAATTATATTGTACATAATAATGAGGAAGCTAGTAAGATCATTTTACTTCAGTACAGTTGAGAGTTCCTGTTAAGAAGGAGCAGGAATTCATGATTCCAGGTGCTTGTAATGGGTTATGAGGAAAGTATTAAATGCTACGAGGGGAAGGTAAGCAAAACAGATAGTTTGTCATAGTACTGAAGAGTAGTATGTGCTTAAATTACCCATGAACACACATGTGAATTTTATAAAATCTTTACCATGATTTCATGAAACAAATACTTTAATGTAAAATGTTAACTGGTAGGATTACTGTTTATCTCAAAAGTCATTCAGGAATTAGCTTCAATCTCAGTATACTGTGAGCTAACCTTAATGGAGCTACTGTTTTACCAAGCTTTTTCTGAAGTTCAAATAGGAATGCACAAATTAGTCATTTAAAAGGTCAGAAGAAAATCATATTCAGTTTACAGATGGAAACTTTATCAAAGCCTACTGCTGTACTTTTACCTGTGTTGTTTGGGAATGGCTCCACCAATCTGTAAATAAGTCGAATGTACGAAGTGCTATGTAAAGAACTCACCAGTCATGTAGCATACTGGTATAAACTGCTGATCCTGTGCTGCTTTAAGGAGAACTTGTCTGATACTGTTGATGTAGGAACTTGGTGGATACTATTTGGATTCTAGCAGTAGCTCTTGAAAATGTCAGAACTTATTTTTATCTTCCTTTGCACTGGCTAGTGTGAAAACTGTACCATTTTAATAGGCTTTCTGAGTTTTTTTTTTTTTTTTCAATTGTCTAATGTGATCCAGTTGGTGGCTTTCCCAGTATCACCGTTGTCCTTGTGTCTCACAACCAACAATTTTATTGGCTTAAACTGCTGTGGAGCTACACTTCTTAATTTTGCTCTGATTTTAAAGCTTACGTATGAACATCAATGACTCATTGTCTGAAACAAGCTTATTTTGAGCTACAAATAACAAAAGTTTCGTGAAGGAGTTGAAGAAAATTAATCTAAGTTTCTTTACAGTTACTATTTTAATCTTCTGAAATAACTTGCTTTTTGGCAAAGGCTTTTTTATGTCATCTGGAAAAATGCTGTTTCTTGATTAGTCTGTTTGCTTTTGGAGTATTAATAGTGTTCTGTCAAATCAGACAAAAATAAGGAAGCCATTTCAGTTTCTCTGAACCTCCTGTTGAAGTCAGACCAGAAAGCTTCCTAGGGTCTGTGTATTCCCCTTGCACAGGGACGGAGTGTGGAGGTGCACCTTTCCTTCATCCCTTGAGGATCAGCAAATGGCATTTGTGAAGGCCACTGTACACTATTAATGTGCCTATAGCCTGTGTCTCTCTTCCCTCCAATCTGGGAGCAGTGCTGATGTGTTCAGTGTTCTAGCTCTATCATTAACGGCTTGGTGCCCCCTGCTGTTAATAATGACCACCCTGGGCAACCTTCTGGCTTTGACAAGGAGTTGTGTATCTTATTTTCCTAGTATTGCTCAATTCTAAATGATCAATCTCCTCTTGAATGTGGGAAGAAAGTACAGTAATTGGGGAATGCCAGAGAGCTTCTTGCAACCAGGTTGAGAGGATGGCCAGAAGTTAAAAAACACTTTTAATTGAGCCAAATTTTCCGATGTCTCTTTCAGGTATTGAAGTCCATGTAAATTCAAAAACAAGACTTCTCTTGACTTTCTGATTTATTTATTTATTTTTTTAACTAGGAAGGTCATATTTCAGTTTGCTTCACCTGAAATTGTAGCCTATGGTCAGAAGAGGGTACTACAACACACTGTGATTTTGCTGAGTGGCAAGCAATAGAGTAAAAATTGCTTGTAGGTTTAGAAGCTACCCAGCTGATTGATCAGTGTTTCATTATATATATGTGGTAAACTGTGAGTTGCTTTTAATTTTATTTTTGTGTCAGAAGTGAGAATCTTGATTGTAACAGCTCTGAACACAGTGAACTACCGTTTAAATATAATGCAGTGTTTATGAGTTATCTTTGCAACTTAGAATTCATGGCCAGCTCCCATGTGACCTGGAATGCTTTGCTAATACAGAAATTAGAAAAGGATGAAAAAATATATACTTGCTGTGATCTTAACATTAAAAGCTAATCATCTCAAATCATTTAATTCTTTACATGTTGATATTATTACTTCAGTAGTCTGAACTCAGCTTTGATAAGGAAATCATGATCTTTATACCAAAAGATGTGGTGAGCTGTTGTAAAAATTTCTTTGTAGTCCCTATTAGGACATAAGCAAGGTTGAAACTGACCTTTAAAGATAAAAGAATTGAGTGGTGCGATTGCATTAGTATATGCTGTTCTTTTTTGGAGTGCCTTATTGTGATTTGTCTGTAGTGGGATACTAACAGCAATACACTAAACTTGGATGGAGTAAATATTTTTAAGTATTGGTGGAATGGAAAGGCATTCCAGTTGAAAAAAGCTCTGTTACTTAATTCCACCTTCACTGAAAAGACTTAGGTAAATCAGTAGGTATTTGTGCTTTGATACAGGAATTGGTCAAGTTCCATAGTTTGTGCTAATATTAACAAGCAAGGAGGAAAAGAGATGGTATGCTGACCTCTTAAATTGTGTGGTTTTATGTATCAACATTAATATCTCTTATTTGCAAATATTTAATCATAAAGGTTCTTGCAAAACCTTTTGCCTTTGAGATACTATTAAAATCAGGAAGTTTGAGTCTTTAACAAGCTAGGAAAGAATTGATCTCTTTTCATCTTGTAATGCTGTGGCTATCTTATAGGGGGCTGAAAGACTAATGCTAGAGGACTGATTGCAAACACTGTGATATCTCAAGCTTTCTCCTAGGGAGGTAAACTACTTTTCATTTATGTTCTTAAATCAGTCTGAAAGCAATAGTTAGAAGATATCGTGATTTGCTTCTTAGTATAAGAGACTGTCAAAACTCTGTGTCAGTGAGAATCTACAGGCATATACCTACCTTACTTCTGCCTCCAACTTCTTGCAGTTTCACTTCTACCTGTTAAATGTGTTGCTTATCTTGAGTAGCTACTGGCAGCAGCATAGCTTGTGCACCGTAAGGAGTTCTGAGAAGTGGGCTTGATGTCTAGGGAGAAAAAAAAACAAAACAACATTGTGTGGTATCTTAATTTCGTATTCAGTATTTTGCCCAGAGGATTTTGAGTGACAAATGCAATATAAATGTAGAGATGGAGTAGATTATCCTGCTGCAGGTTCTGGGAGAGATTGACAGTACTTAAAAAGGGGGGGAGGCGGGGGGGGAATAGGGAATGTTTCTAGTACAAGTGATTGCTAAAACATTCCAAGTTCTAGAGCTTCTTGCTTACATAGATGTCTCTGGATTGAAATCATGGTTGAATTTTACTTCTCTTGGACTTAGTGATGAACAATGTTCGTTAAGAAAGTCTACTGGAATAAATAAATCTTAGTTCACACAGTGAAACTAGAGGAGAACTGGAGGGTGGAAGGAAGAGGTTTGAGATGTTGCAGTTATGAAGGAAAAGGATTAGTGTCAATATCTGGACTAGAAACACATTTTATTCTATCTGTCTCATCTGAGTCTGGCTGGGATGGAGTTAATTTTTTTTATTATGATTTTTTTTTGTAGCACTCCTTGTGGTGTTGTGTTCTAGATTTGTGATCAAAACAGTGTTAACATACTGGTGTTTTAGCTTTTGCTGAACAGTGCTTACAGTGTCAAGTTTTCTGTTGTTGTTTCTGTTGTTACTGTTTCTTACTGGACCCTTATTGCAAGGGGAGTTGTTAATCAGTTCTCATTAACCAAGGGAGTACAATATACTTGGAATAACTTAAAACCCAGCCAAAGGTTTGTTGACTCATGTGGCATGGGGTGTTGACAAAAGCACCTGGAATGCTTTGGCTGGTGAGAGCATAACCAAGGATCGATTGCTGGTTAAAACCAGTGACTTGCAGGGCTGTGTCATTGACCCATTACTGCACTTTTTCAGATACAGCAATTGTTTTTTTTCTTTTTTCCTCCTTAAGTTCTAGACCATTATCTATTCATGACTGTGCGGTGTAAATTAATGCTTATTAACCTACTCTTCCTTGATATGATTGTTGTAATGGTAATGCAATAAAGATTGCTTTCTTGGTTGTGAATAAAGATATGATGCTTATGATCTGTGTCAGCAGGTTTTTCGTACTGTTAGTGAAAAAGTGAGAATAGGGGTCATAGACAATAGTGTTTAACATTACTTCTTCAATCAATTTATGGTACTTACTATTGAGAGTATTGAGGTGAATTTAGTAGATGAGACAGTGCTAAAATGATATAAGGATCAAAAAGCTAGGGCACAGTAAATTCTCTTCAAATATCAACAACTGTCAAAACTGAGACTGTCATAGCTATTTGCTGATTCAGCTTAGTGTTTGTCTTGGAAAGCTGTTTAAAGAGAGATTTCATTTATTTATTTATTTATTTATTGTGTAATAGTAGAGGTGTTAGTTATACATGCTGCAGTTTTGTGAGTTAACTGGGTGAAAGACAAGGTGAGAGGGGATACAAGCCTGTTTTTTTCAATAGCATACATCAGGTTCCATGCTCATGTAGTTGTGCTTGTGGTAGAACACTTCCTGAAATTTTGGGTGCTTTTTAAATGTTAGGATAGATGGAATACAGACTTTATTCTAAAACAGTAGGTAACTTCTTCTTGTTTCTTTGATTTGTGTGTGTGTCTTTTTTTAATAGAATATCCAAATAAAAACTTTGGCAGATGATGTGGTAAGGTCTTCGGAATATCTTAATTTGCAACGATAACTACACACTGCATGCTATTTTATTCCAAATCTTGTGGACAATATAACATGTTCTTATAAGGATATTAAGCATTGGATTTTAGAAAAATTAGTTACCTATACTTAAGGATCTTCATTTGTAACTTCAATTAAAGAAAAGTTGTTAAAGATGCTTCTCCAAATTGTTATCGTTAACCATATTCTAAAAGCTTTGGTAATACTGTAGATGTATTTAAACTTTCTGGAAGTAACTGGTGTTACTTCTTTTGGCCTTTTTAACAGTAAAGACTCTTCAGTGTTTCTTTGAAGTTAGTTACTACATGATTCAAGTGGAACTATTTTGGCGAATAATAGTGCACTGTATGTTGAACAACTTTGTATTCAACAGCACCAAGCAGATAATTTTGAATACTTGCATATACTTGATATTATTTCATAATTTCAAAATAGGTTGCAGTAAAACTATCAACTTCCATTTTTTATACATGATAGTTAAGCCATGCTGGCTATTTAGTTAGTCATCACTTACATACCTGAAGTGAAGAAATGGTGCCTAGTAATCGTATGTAAGATTCATTTATGTCTTTAAAGTGATCTTACATCGCAGTTTGATTAAACACATTTATTGTTAATGATGTGTATTTCAATGGATCACAGTACAGTGAAATTGATTATGCATTACTTCATCATGACTGCTGATAGGGCACTTTAATGTAAGTGAGGAGTAAAACTGCATTTGATGTATATTGGTTAATGTTGGGTGTCGTTTTGCCAGCATTATGTTACATATTGTAGACTTTTCAATAGGATATGCCCTAATTTTAATTTCAAAGAAGCATAACTATTCTTGTAAGGGAAAAATGTGATTAGTGTAAAATGGTTGCATTTTTTAAAAAAATGACAATATCCTTTTAGGTAATGTGTTTCTGTCCACAAATGTAAGACTTCTAAGTGGAAAAACAAAAAAAAAGAATCTAAACCCACTCCTCTCGAAACCACAAACACAAAAAAATAACTTTCCAAAAGTTCAAAGGACATGCAGCTTATCTGGGGATACTTCTGGTTCAAAAACCTACAACAGTCTCAAATAGGATCTCAAAGCAAAACCTAGAAACGAAAACTAAACCCTGAAACAAACAAACAAAAAAAACATCACTACCACAACGAAATAAAACAGGAAAAATCAATGAACAACTGCTCTTGCCTGTCTTCAAAAGCACTTAATCGAATTTCTCCCCTCCAGATTGGACTAATTTTAAATTAATCTGTTTCATACAAATGAAACAGTACTTCGAATTTTTTACACCTTACGTGCGTTAATTATAGACAACATAAGTTTTGTATTACATGTATTGATAGATATTACAATAAATGCTATGAATGATACTGGTAACCCTACGTAAGCTGCTGGTAAATGAAAGCACATCTTAATAAGGCTGTTCCTTGCCTAAAACAAATATACTCATATTTGTTGATGCAAACAGTTAATTTACAAAATTTGTATACATGTAACATTGCATTCATATGTGTGTGTGTGTATATATATGCACACCTATCTGTAAAGATGGTTTTACTGAAGTAAAAAAATTTCTAAGTCTGCATCTAACTCTATTTAGGATAGAGTTAGATATTAAATAATACAGTAACAAATAGCCTTATAAGGAAGGTGTGCTTGTTGTTGTTTCCAATATTAACAAATTAACTGAATAAGCATGCTTTAAAAAAAAAAGTGTGTGTTGGGGGGTATAAGGCATAAAACAAGTCAGTGTTAACCAGTGAAATGTCATGGCAAACTATATGGTATGCTTTCACTAATGTCCTTTATGTGTATTTAACTATGGATGGCTGCTTTTATGTGAGTAATCTTTTACCTGGCTTTTTAAAATTACATGCTAATTTCAGGAGTCTGTGCTCAAAAGCACTTCAAGAAGTTGTGAACTAGGAGCATTAATTCCTCTATGAACTTTATTTTACTTCAGCAGGATTTTTTTAATAAGCCTGATGAACTTGAGTGCCTCCTTCCCAACGCTGGCTTTTTCAGTTGTCCTCCAAAGGCTTATAGCTCTTCAGGTGAAGGAACGTTGGACATGACCTTTGTGGTACCATGTTTACTCACTATGAGAATAATTAGGGAGTAATGACAGAAGATCAACTTGGGATTTTGAAATGCTAAGAATGTAATGTAGATGGTATACTTTTGAAACTGTTAGGACATCATATCGCATTTGCATGTAACCTGTCGTGAATCTACCTGAAATATTTTTTTCTATGAAAACTAATCTCTGAATGTAAGAGAATTATTACTTAAAGTAGTTTGAATTTTGTCTCTGCTGCTGAGATGAACTAAAAATGTGTGTATTACTATCATATAATTGAGTTAATGCCTCTGTTTTCCTATGTTTCTGTTTGTCTCTGCTTATTTTTAATTGGATATCTTTACAGCGTGACAGAATAACAAGCTTCAGAAAATCAGCAGTGAAAAAAGAGAAACCTCTTATTCAGCATCCTATTGATGCTCAACCTACTATAAGTGAAATCCCACTTTCCCAGGCACTTGTTGATGAACGTTGCATGAACTTATCAGAAAAAGAAGTTATGGATCTCTTTGAAAAAATGATGGTAAGATGACATGCCAAATTGTTTTATGAGAATTTCATGTTATTTATGTAGTAGTAAGTTTAAAATGTTGTTTTGGAAGTTCTGGTATGTAAACAGCTGATAGCTCTGAGTGATGGAATCCTTTCTATACAAATTTCTTAGACTACTTCTTCAGAGAAAATAAAGGGAAGAAGGAGAAAAAAGTGGGAGAAACGGGATTATTTCATTAAGATAATCTCTGTATGCCGTAGTTGTGGTAGTTAGGCACTGCTGTTGAGGGATTGTTTTTAATAAACTTAAGTAAATGCCTTTGGAAAATAATAATTTCCATTAATTCTCGATTATATAATTATTCAAAGCTGAATTTTGTATAATCCTGATCATTTTTTCTTAGGTGACCTTGTCAAGGTTTGTGATTCCACTCACAAGCATGCTTTCTAGCTTTCTATTAGTAGTATAGAAGCAAACTTTAGAAATAGATGTGTATTAATTCTGTCATGCAGATTAGTGTTGGTACACAAAGCATCAGGATGGGCAACCTTTTGAGATTGCTTTAGGTACTGTTTTCTGTATCATTCTTGAAAATTGTCATAAATTTCCACACTGCCAGCATGGCCTAAGAACTGTCCCATTCCATTGCACGGTTCTCTTCTATTCAAGGAAGCTTGTTTGAAAGACTGGATAATATTTGCTTGATTTTCTTGTTAGATTAAAGGATTCATTTTTAACTTTTCCAAGTAATATAAATTGAAGAAGACAATAGCTCAGTCTTCCAGAGACTAGTGTTTCTCTGAAAAGCTATTGACTAGTAAGTTCTTGCAGTAATATTGAATGGTTTTAGCTGCTAATCTGATGTAACCTTGATTTTTAATGGCAAGATATTCATGGCTAGTAACGGCTGCATTTTTTATTTAATTATTAAGTTGAAATAGGCATTTATACATCTTACATATCTAGTAGGGTATTTGGATTTTTAAGGTTGTTTTAAATATATCAGTTGAAACATAGTCACATCTACCCCAGTGGCAAGCTAATAATACATGTAATCTGAGCCTTCTGGGTAGAAGCAATTTTGCAGGAACATTGTCAGTTGTAACAAAATTTGTGTTTTTATTAAAAAAAAAAAAGGCACAGGAATGTGATGAGAGTTAATACTTCTGTAATGAGTATTGTCATCTGTTTTTATTTTTTGAGCTAAATTTCATTTTAATGACAATTGCTTTCAGTGCAATCGCATCTTTGATGAACTCTTTAAAACAGCAGGCACTTTAAGGGACAGTATTAGATTAGAAAATCAGATCAGAGTTAAACTGACTAAAGCAGGTATACTGGAAAAACTCACTTCTGCTTAAAAATGAGCATTTTGTACAAGAAAAGGAGTATAAAAATAATAAAAAATATTAAATAAAATCCCGATGGTCTCTTTCTTTACAGGAAGACATGAACTTAAATGAAGACCGTAAAGCTCCTTTAAGAGATAAAGACTTGACAACAAAACGTGAGATGGTTGTCCAGTACATTTCTGCAACTGCCAAATCTGTAAGTAGTCGCCTCTCCCAAACAGGTGAAACTAATAAGGTTAGCTTCGTGAGGGTTATGCGTATGAAGATGAAACTTCCTTTTTTTTTGTTTTGTTTTGTTTTATTTTGTTTGGATTTACCTTCTAAGAGTGGTAGGAGGGGAAACTCCTGCAGCTGTGTATGAAGTGTTTGCATTTGAGTTGGGCAATGTGGAAAGGTGCTGCTTCATTGTAAATCACAATAAATTTCAAATTCACTGATGAAGAGTAATGGATAATAGAACTATAAAATATTTTTGTGCAATTTGTATGATTTGTTTGGAACCAGAAGTACTTGGAAAGGACAGCATGACTTTATGATTTAAGTAACGTTATACATACTGGATGTGCAATTTGCAGTGTTAGACAACCAAAATATTTGAATTGCTTAGAAATAAAGTCAAGATTTTAGCTTAATTTGAACATGTAGCAGGCTTGAAGATTGTGTTAAATATTTTGTTAATCATTTTATATACTATGAAGGTAGTGAAAAGATGGTCTATTTGAAACTGTTTTCAAGTAGAAAAGTATTTTTCAGACCTTTTATTTGTGTTGGCTATTGTCTGTACTGAAAGGTGACTGATTAACCCTTAGTTGATGGATCCTCCATGGAGAATTTTTGAAAAATGTCTGTTTTGGGGTAATAGAAGTAAGTGTAAGAGAACTAGTATATGCTTGAACAGCTGCTGGGTGTGGCAACATCATCTCAAGTGCTGATGAGCTACAATTCATTTTCTTCAGTAGTGGGAATATTAGTACTAAGTAGTTATAAAATAAAACAATAATGCTTTTTCTGTGTTAAAATATTTACTATGGCAATATACAAAAAGAACTATACAGTTCTTTTATGTAATAAGAGAATGAATCACAAGGCTACACAAGTATTGCACAAAACACAAATACAAATGGATGATTTCACTAGAAATAGTTTGTATCCTGATTTGTTCTATTGTTTGCTGTATATATTGTTGCTGTATACATTGTTTGCTGCATATAGAACTTCAAAGAACTATTATAGTACTGAATTCTAAGGAACTGAATTAATTGCAATAATGTCAGAACTGCTTATCAGCACTGGGGGCAAGTGGTAGAAGGGGTTAGCTTTTCATATTTAAGGGGCAGTAGTATTCTTCAAGATACCAGATTTGATATCAACATGGTTCTTCAATAGAATTAGATAATGTGTATGGTTTTATTTAGAAATTAGGATGAATCTCATCTTTTTTTTCACGCTTAACCTTTTATTGCAAACAGTAGCTTACTAGACACGAAGCCTGTGTATGGAGTAATTATTCAAACACCTCATCGCAACAGCACTAGCAGCTCTATATGGCGGAATCTGATTGCGGGATACTGATAACATTATATTAAATAGTAATTTGCTTCTTAATTAAATGGAGCAGAGAATAAGATTATTTTTGGTGTCTACTTAGTGAATCTGTAAGAATAGACTGCAAATGACACAATAAGTGTTTTTTTTCTTCTAACATTTAAAATCAGCTTGCTGGAGTTAAACTTCAGGAAAAGAAAAAAAAAAGCTAGAATCACGTGCAATTACTAAACCTAAATGCTTTGCATTAAATATTAAAAAGTTAAATGAGGAAAAGTTTCTATTACAATGTGCAAATGGTGATTACCCTTCTAAGAGGAGTGATATTCTTGCACATATTTACCTTAAAGGACAGAGTGAAGGACTGCAAATTTTAAGTAATCAAGTGCATTAAGCATTGGTTAGCTAAATATACAGGATAATAGAAAATTATTCAAGCTTATGCAGTAAATGTGAAATTTTCAGTTAATATGCTTTGCCTAGGCTGTCTTGAGAATTATTGATTGTGTTCTAATGTTTTGTTTTTACTAGATTATCAATGTTAAATCTTTTTTTTTTTTATAAGCAAAAATATTTTTATTGAAGCAGCAGAAATTTTCACAATGCAAAGTATTTACATGGCATTTCTTTCCCAGAACTAATTAGGAGATGGTTCTCTCCCATGCATATAAAGGTATTCAAATGTAGACTCCTTGAGTACCATGATACAGTAGTAAAGTAAGAAAAGCATGGCATGTCTAACTGTTGAAAAATTTTAACAGACTGCATTACTGCCTACCATATGAGCTGCAGCAACTGGGTGTACATTTGCCACTAACAACTGGAAAAAAAAAATCCCAAAATGCATGAATATATGCTTTTAATTTAAATCAGCTCCAGTATGGATGTTCTATAGATAAGCAGAATCTTTTTTTTCCTAACAGAAAAAGGGCTTGTATCGAACTTTGTGTGCTCCTTGCAATTGAATCACACCATCTGAATGGGATGTTTAAGGTTGTTCAGAGACATGAATGAGCTTTCTATAGTTTCATAGCCTGAAAATAGCTAGCATCTTAATTGACTTAAAAATGTATGAAGTAGAACTCAATTGTAAAATATTGATTGGGATCTTATAATAAAGCCAAACTTCATTTCCACTGTTAATTGCATCTTCTGTTTGGCCGAACAGACTTAGTTCTAATTCTAAGTCAACTAATTTGACTTAGTTGAATTCAAGCCCTAACCAATTTTTACCACGTCTTGACTTGGCAAGCTTTCTTTTCGTCAGGCTGTCCTCAGCTTTGTCTTCCATGGAAATGCTGACTGCATAAAAAATGATGTTACTTAAAATTTTCTCCCTTTCTTTCGTCACAGATAACTGTTCATTTATCTTCTTTTCTGTACTGAAGATACTTTGGCCTTTTCTTACACTTAGAGCTCATTGCTCATGAAGCACACTGGCCAATTGATGCAACTTTTTTTCCAGTTCCATCTCATGGTCATTTTAGTTTGAGCCTTTGAGATCTCTCCATTCATCTGAAGTATCACTCTCATTTGCTCATGTTGTCTTAACCAACTTAAAAATCGGTCTTCATATTCTTTGCCCTGCGTGCCATCTGCAGCTTGTTGGCCATGCTTTTCTGAAACACTGTGTTGTCCTCAGAGTTCTGAGTGAGAATCCTTGATTTTTAATGGATGAAAAAAAGCTTTCCTTTTTCTTGGGGGACTGAGGAAAGATGGAAGCAAATAAGCTGGATCCTTTGATGTGAAGTAATTATCTGGGCTTCCGATTTCTTCTCTCATTTGTAGAGATGCATTGTTGACCATGGAAATGGTAATTGGGAAATGGTGAAGGCTCAGAATTCTTTTTCAGAACTGATCTTAGTGACATCTTATGTCATATCGAATTACTTGAACATTGGTGAGAGAAGGTTGTAAATTAGGAAGAAAGATTGCCTGACTGGTGATGACAGTTGCACCTTGTGCTTCTGGAGGAAGCTTTGTCAGTAAGAGGAGAAAAGAGGTAATTGTGAAAGACTTGAGAGGACTCATGTCTTCTGAAAGAGTTCCTAAAAGAGTAACGGAAAAGATAAAAGTAGAAAACAAAGCAGGCAGATGCTGAACAGATACTGTCAAATTCAGATATTGGAAGAAAATCATACCGTCTCAGGCTATCGATCAGATAAACATGGATATTCAATTAAAAGGTCTGCTTTCAGATTGTAGAAAATAGCTGACAAGAAAAGGTCTATAATGTTTAGGCAAAGTCCATAGTACAGTTTTTTACAGGATCATGGTCATTTACACAAACTGGTGGAACAGGGCAGAGTTGTGTTGCCTTTCTGTCAAGTGTTAATCCAGTGTGAAGTCAACTTGCTGTTCATGAATATGCAGACTTCCTGTTCGATGGTGAAAAAGAGAAAATATCCGTCTGTAAATCACTGGTTAATCATCCATGTAAAAGCATACATACTGAACAGTTAAAGAAAAATGGCACGAGATTTTCTGAAGTATGAGTTAGATTTATAATGGTAGGCTATGTTTTTGATTATGAAAATCTAATTAAATACAATGATGACATCATCTAAATAGATAAAAAAGTACTGTGGTAAATGATTTTTTGTAAAAACAAGAAAATCAGTATGACATTATTTTTTTTCTGTAGTTTTCTCAGTGTCTTCTTTTTAGTTTCTTTTCACTTTTACAGTGCCTGACCTGTTAATTTTAACAATATGGCATATCTCTTAATCTCTCCAGAGGTAGATGTCAGGCTAAACATTTAGCTATTTGTAAATGTGTGAGATACTGATGATTCAGCAGTGGAACATAAAAATTTCAAATTCTTTCTCTTACAGTAGAACTTGTTTTCCTGTTGAGAAAATGTAACTCTTAAGCATTTTGACCAAATAATAAGAGTGTAACTATTACTAATGATTAAATTGAAAAAAATTGTGTGATGCTACATCCTACTAAGTACTTTGCTGTGTTTATTTATGTATTATTATTATTATCTTTTTCACACAATAACCTCTCTTGGCTGACCACTGCATGCAGATAGTCGGAAGTAAAGTTCCGGTGAGTATGAACATGATAGTTTTGTTTTCTTATTATAAATACGTTTTGGTTTCTAGAGAGTAGGTTAGAATAATTTAGACATTCATGGATTTAAAAGTTCCATGGGCATAAATGCATCCTTACTTCATCAGAATAATTATTTCTGACCACAGTCGGACTTAACTTACCGCTATAAAATTATTTATTGCTCCAAGGGATTCATTTTAATTTTTTTAGGGATCTATTTCAAGAGACTTGCAACTCTGAGAATTCATCTACTCATCATGAGCAACCAATACAGTTTAGGCTTGTTGTGCTTTTGTATTGAAGGCAATCAACTGAAACTTGAAATTAGTCTTTGACTTCTTTCATTCTGTTTAGATGCAGATTTTTGTTACGTTGTTACCATTCATAGTGAAAATTCATTCACTGTGAAAATGTCAGGATATGCTCCAGGATATCAGTGTAAATAGGATTAACACAGGATTCAGAAAGGTCAATTAAGTAGTATAGGCAGCATAGCTATTGCATTAATAGGTTCTTGGTTGTGTTTTATATTGTCATGGTTGAATTTATTGGTATTTAACTTCTTAAAACAAGTATTTGATACTTTTATCAGGACTAAATCCAGGAAAAAGGATCAAAATGACTTTCTGGGAATAATTATATTTACAATTTAAAGAATGCCTGAAAGTAAAGATGTTCTCTTTAGTTATGGGTGGCCTTTAATTGTAGCCAAGCAGGCTTTTTATTTATTTATTATATTTTTTTTATTGGAAGGTTTACTACTTAGGTCGTATTCAATGTTTCTATTTTGTAGTTAAAATAAACAAACAAAAACAACACCATAAAAATCATTACCTCAAAGGTTATTAACATGCATTCAAACCAGTTTCAAATAATTGCTGCTCCCATGTAATTTCCTTGTAATATGAATTGTTCTGAACAGCTGCTTTGTGAAGAGATTTTATAAAGGAAATTGGGATATGCGCAATAGAATATACCAGAATGTCATTTTCTGCATGCCTTTTCTTTTTCTCTGTTAGACTGTGAATTAATAGTTATGCATTAAAAGCATGTTTTTGCACAAGTAACTAGGAAAATAAGAAATACCCTTCTTAAAGCATGGCTTATGCACACATATAATGGCTTAAAGAATGCATGTTGTGCTTATTCTCAGTGTTTGTTTTTTATCGGATTCATCAGTTGGAAATTGAGTGCATCTGACAGCACTGGTGTTGTACTCTGAGAAGGAGAATGATAAATAAACAAAAAATAAACACACAACAAAATAAATCCACCTGCTGCTCCCTAAGTTCCAGACCAGCATGCCTCCAGGCAGACTGAGCCTTCTGGGTGACTGACAACTATCTTGTTCACTTCATTTACAAAAAGGTTGAAACTTGTATATATTATATGTAGTTACTTTCCTGAAAAGCTACAGATTTTATGGTTAGAAAGGAAGAGAACTTTGGACTGCTCGTGCCGTTGATGCTGATACTGTTGGAGTATAGTACAGTTGTAGAGGAGGTTTGCTTGTTTCTGGAGAACCTGGAGCTTTAATTTATTTGAGTTTTATTTGGGACATCAAACATTGGTGCCTGCTTGCCATTTGAGCTGCCCATTTAGCAACCTTTCTTGTCTTTTAAAGGCAGAGATAAGTGCATTGAAATGGCACAACTATGCTTAACTGTAAGACGCTAACATAGATATCTGACATAGAACTAGGTTCTGGTTTTGTTGGGTTGAGCTAGCAAGTCTGGCTAATGTCTAAGGGATAGGTGCTATATAGAGTTTCATTTTCTAGTACAGGAGATGATACAACATTTTTACTCATAGCTTGAACAAGGACACTGCTTATCTGAGTAAAATGTGCTGCAAGTATGTAGAATTTAAAAGGTCTCTGAGCACCACCTCAATTGTCTTATCTGCCTTTCTTGTTATGCTCTAATTAAAATATAGTTGTTCATTTGCTTGGCATAGCAACAGAATTGCATTAATAGACGGTATACAAAAACTCTTCAGTTCAGTCATTTAATGTGAGGTGATGGGGATGGAATACAAGCTACTACTTTGACTTCATTAATAAGTGTTCTGGTACCAGCTGTTTCTGTAACAGGTACAGTGAATTGGAAAGAAGTGACCACTTATGATATTGTGAGATTTCTAGTCAATGTACTGGCTACCAGCATTCTCCCTGAAGTAAAAAATGCCTGTTTATTGGAAGCAACATAGTTAAAACTTCTTCAGCTGATGAACTCAGCTTTAGCCTCAAACCAGTGAGATTTTATCCGTCTGGTGCCTCAAAGACAAGCAGCTTGTACAGATTTTTCTGGTCTCGTAGTTTAACTGTTGCAGCCCATCTGTTTGGTGTAGGGGTGCTTCATAGTTCTTCAGCACAGAGTAGAGAGAATACTGGCATATTCCTCATGAAGGTAAAAATGCTTTTTCTGTTCTTGTTTTGTTAGATATTGGCTTCTAACCTTGTTTCCAGGCCTCCTCTGGCAATTAAACCTTAGTAGCGTATAAAGATGGACACTTTGGAAGACCCTTTTGACATTTACTAAATTACTGGGGGAAGAATTTATTGTCTAGCACCTGTAGCCAACGTAGAACGAGAAACTGAAAACAGAAATATTTAAAATATTTAATTATTGTCTGTTTTTCTAGGGAATAATTAAACATGTAGAGAGAAAGCCATACTTCAGTTGATTTTTTGTTATGTTCTGTGCTGTAAGGTATCTGTCTTGTTACTGTTGTCCCTTAAAACTTGAAATGTGTGATTTCATTAGATTTAACCTTCTTCTTGAGAAAGCAAGCTGGGCTTTCTTTCATACAGTTGTTTCTGGTGAGACTTCCCAGTTTCCTTAAACTTATTTTTTTCCTTAAACTTAACTTCTGACTTCCTCAGAGAATTATTTTAAATGTGTGGTCCAAGCTTTCGTTTGAGTGATCATAGATGAATAATTATATACCTTAGTTGTAATACTGAGGTGACTGGTTGTAAAGTTACTTCTAAGATCTTTCATCTTATGCTCGATTTAATCTCTGAAAGTTCTAGTGTGGGACCTAGTCATCTACATCCCTTTGTACTTTTGCCGTCAGTCTTACCAGAAGCTCTCACACAAAGCCTATACTTAACTGTGACCTTGTATTCCATTTTTTTCTAGGCTGTGCTTTCAGAATAACTGAAATATATATATTAAAATCTGAACCATGTAAAGGCATAGCAGTACTTAAATATAGCATTCAAATAAAACTTTTAATAGAGAAACAAAAGAAATAGCACTTGGTTGTAGCACTTGAGTTTAGCGTGGCTAGAGGAAAGAAGAGTGGAATGAGACTGACAAATTGCTTGCAGAAAACAAAGAAGTAATCCTGTTAAGAAGCTGAGAATTCTCTAGTATGATTTAGAGTACTTGGATAAAAGGCTTTGAGAATGGATTTTTTGAGCCACTTTAAGTGATAATCTGTTTTTGAAGGGTTGGGGGGAAGGAAGCTGAGGTGGTTTCTTACTGTCATGCAGTTAAAGGTGCTTAGTTATGCCAGAAATGGAAAAGTACACCTGTTCCATAAAACATGATAAGAAGGCTTAGGAGATCATACTTCCAATTCCTGCAACTTTTCACCTGTTCATAAATTGTACCTGTTTTTGAAGGAATCTTGAGTTTTACGGAAGCAAGGAAATAGAACAGAGGATCTTCAGTAATGTCCTAAGTGCCTATGAAAGAGAGTCAGCAAGAGCACGCTAAGTTTACATATAAAAGAAAACATTACAAAAAAGTCTTAAATGCCTCATCTGTGTAGGTACTTCTTTGGAGTTTGCAGCAAGCTACAGTGAAAGGGCTAGACACAGGAAATCACCGTTTGAAAACCAAACATGTCTTGCATTTTGGAGTGCTTTTTTAGGGTTTAACTTAATATGTAAAGACATATGATTGAAGCTTCCATTCTCTCTCTCTATTTTTTTGGCTTACAGCAGTGCTTTTTTTTTTTTTTTTACACTCTTAGGGAACATCTGAGATGACAAAAACTGCATGTAGTACAATGCAGATAGTGATAGTAACACATATAATCTTTTCCAGGTTTCCTTCCAAAGCAGTGAACAGCATGAAGCTGTTCCTGTCTTCCACTTCTTTACATTACGGACTTTGAGAATAATGATTTTGCAGTACTATTATGATTTATTAATACGTAGTACTAATATGCTTCCTTGATTTAAAGCCAAGTGTATGTTTTGCATAACAGCATTCCTTTGTTTAGAAAGTTGATATTGACAGACTATAGTTCCTTTATATGCTATTTCTCATCTTCTTAGCTCTCCTAGTCCTTTTATGTGTAACTGGCATGCATTGGCTAGCTAAAGGCACTATTCACATCCACATCTCCAAAGCTGACACAGGCTTGAGAGCACTCTTGTCTTAATACATTCACAGTCCCTGTCAGATTGTTGTCCTGTTGATGTTGTGTATATTTGAATATATACTGCAAACATTTTAATAGTTGTTATATGAATTAACATTGGGATATATGTAGGTCATAATCGTTAACTTTAATGTAGAAAAGGCATTATTTTGTCAACAACCATATTTAGTGTCATTGTTGGAAAACGAATGTTAAGAATTTAAGTAAAGGAAAGCAAACTTCATGAAACATGTAGCTTTCTGAAGGAGGCACAAGTGGAAGGTTACAGCATTTGAACTTCCTGATTCAAGTAAAACCAAATACATGTAAATCCTCTTTTGGGTCAGACATTTTTAATATTGCCTTTACACTCATGACACAACTATATCAGGTTCTCTTCAACTGTAGAGAGGTAAGGAGCTTTAACAACTGCCTATTAGTGATAACCACGCTTTGAAGATAAGCCTACTTTTCTACAGCTGATCAGAGCTCTGCAAAGGGTTATTTGCACCTTTTGGTAAAATGTTTTGAGCACTGTTCATGGTTTTGAATGCTACAGCTCTAAAAACTGAGTAACAGATATACTGAAAGGTATACTGAAACACGTTTGTACATGGTTATTCTTCAAAATTGGCACTATAGCAGGGAGATGAGCTCTTTGTGAAATCTTCTACATCATTCTTCTGTTTTATAACGAATTAAGTTCCTCTAGGGATCTGTTAGTGACCAAGCAGGGAGTTCTTCTACAAGAAATCATTGAGCCATGTATTTGCATGGTTTTGAAAACACCAATTTAACAGTCAGTGGGTACCAGTTCCTTTTCAATGTCATCTTCAGTGGCTTAACCTCCTATTCTTCCTGCAGAAGAGAGAATTTGAGTGTCAGGATATGGTAATGCAGCTATAAAAATAAATATTGAAGACAGGTAAAGAGAGAATGATGAGAGAAGCGTAACAACAACTGTGGGGGTTTGGAGTGTATATGTTTATGGTGGTTTCTAATGCAGTATTGTGAAGCAAATGCTAAATGAGATTGTCTTAAGCAGTCAAATATGCTAATACAATTGAAATATAAGAGTAGGTTTTTATATCCAACATGTGGTACATGGACTTTTTTCAAGGAAGTGAAAAAGATGCCAGAAATATGTTTACCCTTGTGATACAAAATCCAACGTATTAAACATTTTTCGAAAATCGGTCAGGTGTCTTTAATAGTTCTACAGGGAAAACAGTGATTTTAAAATTCATGTGGAAATACTGACATGCTTATGTGTTACCATCTGCTTACATGCTACAATGATCTATATACCGTTAAGCAGCATTCTCTCTTCTGTGATAGGGTGGACTGAAAAACAGCAAGCATGAATGCACACTGTCCTCACAAGAATATATTCATGAATTGCGATCCGGAATTGCAGAGGAAAAGCTTCTCAATTGTCTAGAGTCTTTGAGAGTGTCTCTAACCAGCAATCCAGTCAGGTGAGTAACTTCTGCTTTGGTTTTCATCATGCTGTTTTTCTTTATCAGTGCAAAGTAGTGTTGGGTTTTTATTTTTGTTTTTGCCAGAGCCTTTACATTAACGCTTTAAAAAGGGTTGGTTTTGAAAGTTCTGAGATCCCTTCTTTTAAAGGTGGGAATTCATTTTACATCAGTAGTCAATAACACATTGATATCAAATAGGATGACTGAATATCAAAATATTGTCTGCACCCTGCAATTTGAGGACGAAATTTGTATTGATTGTAATGATTTATTCTGTTCCTACTCTGGAAGTGAATGGTACAACAGTTGTATTCAGACTAGCTCCAACAGGTTGCCTAAGTCTGTTTTAGTTTATACATGAAACTTTGTTCTTAGTATGAACTATGTAAACCAAATCTGTTTTTTTCTGAAACAAATATTTTGTGAGGGAAGTTATTAAAGCAGTGCAAATCCGTAACGAGATGTTTCCAAAACCGTTTTCCACATTTCTATTGTGGCAGAATCATAGCTTAACTGCTAGTTAAGTGATAAAAGATGATGATTATTATTGTTACTGTTGCTTTTTGTTTTTAAACAAACTTCTTACTCAGTTTTACGGAACTTTTTTTAAAGATCTTGCAGTGGCATGGGTTACTGCCTTCCAGAGGATTGGACGTTTCTGAATGTTTTATTCAAAGTGATTTTTTGCATGAGGATACACAGAGGTGTAGGCAGATATAACTTCGAGGATTAATAGAATTTGTGTGAATGTGGGATTCTTTCCCATTAGTCACTTTCTGTGAAACATCCAGCCGCATGCTTATTGGCACCAAAACGTAGTTCTCAGCACAATGTAAAAGGATAAATGAGTTGCCTACAATTGTCTGCAATAGTTTCTTGAGTTTTCTGATGGTTCTTAATAAAGTCTAATTTCTGGAATTAAGCATTGGTCTTGTTGATCAGGTCTTCTTGGAAAGTGAGACTTACAGTAGTATGCCTGAAGAGAGCAGTACTGGAGACATAGCTTTGTAAGCTTAAGGTTTGATTAAGAAATAATTAGAAGCATTTTCCCTCCCTTTTCCAGCTGGGTTAACAATTTTGGACATGAAGGTCTTGGACTTATGTTGGATGTGTTGGAAAGGCTTCTGGACAAGAAACAGTAAGGACTCAAATCACTTGAAGAGGGGGGAGATGGGGTAGCACGTGAAGATTGTACTTATGTTGTTTTCTTTTTTCCTTTCAAGGCAAGAAAATATTGATAAGAAGAATCAACATAAACTTATCCAGTGCCTCAAAGCATTTATGAACAATAAAGTAAGAAATATTTAAAATGCAGATAACTTGTGGTATGGTAGTTTTTTGATTTCAAGATGAATGTCGCATGTTGAATCTTAGAAAAGCAAGGAAATTTCATATATCTTTTGTTAGCAGACTCTTAAAATGTAGGTCTTAAGGTAATATAACTTTTTGCCAACTTACTTGTACTTGATGAAAATTAAAAAAAAAATAAATTCAATAAATGCCAATGAAAGTTTTTTTTGACCTACCCTATTTCAGCTCTTTTACAAGTATACAATAAAAACGAGCTTAGTTTTTGACTTCTATGATTTAGTGTGTGTGTGCATGTGTGTTTTGACTTGCCCAGGGGCTGTTACGGGGTAGGGTGGGACAGGTGGAAATATAAGAACTAACTCTTCATGCTGTTGAGGTAGTTCAGATAAAAAATACGAACTGGTACCTAATTTTACAAGATTGGCTATCTTTTTTAGGAACTGAATTTTGTTTTCCTGGAAAAAAAAAATCAAATATAAAACTGGGAGTCTGACTTCCATCTCCAAGCAGTAATAGCCAGGTTTTAGTAGAATGTTACCAAGTTTCATATGGAACGTGTGCATGTGTCTGAAGGTGCCTAAGGTTCTGAAATCCAATGATTATGAGAATTTGAGGCCAATATTTTATTTTCACTGTAAGCTTTCTGTTTTGTTAAGTACGGATTGCAAAGGATTCTAGGAGATGAAAGAAGTCTCTTACTGTTATCAAGAGCAATTGATCCAAGGCAACCACACATGATGACAGAAACAGTAAAAATACTTTCTGCTCTTTGCATCGTTGGAGAGGAGAATATGTAAGTAAGACATTAAAAGAAAAATTCTTTTTTCTGAATGCTTTTGTGTTCTCAGCTAGGACACAGGTGAGAACTTGTATATGTATTTGTAATCTGTTATGCCATTGCTTTATTAATGCTACTTGTATTTTAAATGAGAAGAGACTTTCACCTGTTCTGATGCATTAAATTGGAGAAAAGCAAATAAATTTATAAAACATGACCTGAAAAATGTCTGAAAAATATATAATGATGTACTGTAGAGAAGAGATGACTTAAGCCATCAACATTCATAAATATCTGCTAAAAAAAAAAAACAAAAAACAAAAAACAAAGCATAGATTATTTCATATATCCCTGAGAAGAATGTTACGGAATAGCAAACTTCTATTTGCCACAGGGAAAGCTGTCAGATTTAGAGTGTTTAAAATTGTTACCGTGGGGCACAACTGGTCCCATTACTGGGAGGAATTCAATTAGGACATCAGCATCTGAGGAGGGGAGATGAACTGATGATTTTTTGAAATTGACTAGTTTGGCATCACATGTTAAGGTATGTCCACTGTCTTTGTAAAATAAAGATAATCATTTGGCATATGTTTACTGAACATAAAAAATGGTGAATTTTGTCTTCAGACTGTTTTTGCCTATTCACTACATAAGGGTTCTGAAAAGACAGGTTATTTGGGAATTCTAGCATTAAACATTTCTGGTAGTACTTTGCGCAGTTTGCAAAGGTAGTAATTTTTTTCACCATGTCTTCTTTCTTAGCTGAATGTCACAACCTTTTATAGTTCAACATTAATCTTGTAGATATTTTAACACATAGTTCTTGATTTTTTTTCAACTTTACATAGGTATGTCATTAAACGTATATATTTTAATGCTTGATTCTTGGCTTGTTTTCAGCTGTATGTAGATGAATGTAGATAAATGCTTTCAGATTATCTACAACTGCACTAAAATCTTGCGTTGCATAAATAAAGACTACAAATCTTTAAAATGACAGTGCTGGGAGTTGTATACGTTTTGACAGTTCATCTTTCTCTTAGGCTGGACAAGCTTTTAGGAGCTATAACAACTGCTGCTGAGAGGAACAATAGAGAACGCTTTTCTCAGATTGTTGAAGGACTGGAGAATCATGAATTCTTACAACTGCAGGTGGGTTTACGTTTTTTATATGCTTACCAATAGCTAAGAAATCTGAAATACTAAAAGACCGTGTACCATTTAACAATCTTTAAATTATTTACCAGTGAAAACTACTTACTACTATTACTCCAGTTTACTAAAAGAGGAAAAATAGAAAAGACCTGCTGATATTAGATTTTTTGCATGGAAGGGATCCCTTTATCCATTATGAGATCATATATGTCACCTACAGGAGTCTTAATTTAGTATCTGAAACTCATGTTTTGGAGCTGATTAGGTGTTCAGCAAGTTTATATAGATGACATCTGCTTTCAAGCAGTGTTGTATGAACTTGGGTAAAACTTATTTCTTAGAAGCAATTTGGTCATAGTATCCACAAAATGGAGTTTGTATTCTCTTTTGAAATTTGTCAATTTTGAAAATATCTACCCAGCAAATCTTTTTGGTAAAGTGCAATATTAAAGGTTAGGTCACTCAAAAGTATGGAATTTAAAGCTCTTTGGCAGAAATAGCATAAAATTTTGTCTAGTTTGTGATAGGGAGAAACCCATATGCAACTCAATTGTACTGGAGTCTCAGTTAAAGCTATTTCTATTGTTTAAAGGTACAGTCTTGGAGAAGTAAGTCATGAAATATACTTACTATTTTTTTTCCCCCAGGGTTTTTAATCATGTTGTCATAAATAAGCAAATTACTTCAAAATACTAATAATTTAGAATAACTATGAAATGTAGGTGGAAATGCTTGACAAATGCTAGCTACCATGAACGTGGGTGGGTGTTCCTGAAAGCCAAAGATGAAATGGAGATTGACATTTATCTTTCTACTACTAATAAACATGTTAACTTTTTGAAAGCACTTTTAACTGAAATGGTTGGTTGCCTTTGTTTTGATACTATGTAATGAGATTGCATCTTAAGCATGCTTGTTAAATTAATAGTAATGTTATCACAAAAGAAATTCATTTTGATACCTCTAACCTTGACCTTGTTGATTTAAAAGCAAAACAAAAAACACCACGCAAAACAAAACACCCTCCGAATGAAAAAACACCCCCAAACTACATTTATACTTCAATAAATATACAATCGTAAGACTCATTAACTTGTTTCTGGCAAAACTGTTCTTAACTTGTAATGTATGGCACAAGTCATTAGGCCAACATCTCTTCTGGCAAAAGCAATCACAGCAGATGGCACCTTTTCTCTCTATTAATTTCTGATTGGACTTGTACTTTTGGCTTGTTAAGTTATGTCTTGGTGGTAACATACGAATTATTGAAGCAAATGTGATGATACTACATTATCAGATGATGCAGCTATATAAAGGGAGTGTCTTTGAAAGTGTTTTAATAGAAATTAAGGCTCCATAGGATGTGCCATTAAAACTAAATAGTGAATGTAATTAAAATTAGAAGGGTGTATTTATCTGATTTTTTCTCTGAAGCCATTGTTTGTTTATTTATGTCTACCCTAATGCTACTTCTATTTGCAGTTAACAGTTCTTTCATGGTATTTCCCTGGAGTCCTGTTTTTGTCTTATAATGTGTCAGCACTTTGGCATTATGATATTGTGTACCTGTTTTAAAATTAATTCAAGTGCACAGCTGTTCAATTAAAGCATTAGGCCCATAGTCTGAAACTTCAGGCATTTTGCAAAAATGAGGTGCAGGAGTAGAAAAGACACCTGCTGATGCAAAATATTTAGTGTGTGTTATTTTTCACATAATTTCTGAGTACTGTAAAAAAACAACAGGTTGTTTTCAAATTAGTATGTACTAAGGAAGAAGAGGACTTGCAGTGTGGAACTGTAGTGTTGTAATAACTTTCTGAAATGAAGTTTAATCCTTTTTACCTGATACCATGTTGAAGTAGCAGAAGTACTCATAATATGAAAGCAGGACAGTATTTGATGCTTGACTAGCATAAGTCAGTCAAACTGTTGTCTGCGTACAATGTAATGAATAATATCAATCTCTTGATACTTGTTTTTTACAGAGTAAACTGAAATAGTTGAAGACAATAAGTATTTATTTTCATTTGCATGCATACTAAAAGTTTTTTTTCCTGTAATTTCAATAACAGGTAGCCTGCATGCAGCTCATCAATGCCCTTGTTACATCTCCAGAAGAACTTGATTTCAGGATACACTTGAGAAATGAGTTTTTACGCTGTGGCCTGAAGAAAATATTGCCTGTACGTAGTTTGTATATTGATTGGAATTGATGATAGCCTGTTACCTGAGATTGTTGAAGAATAACAGATAGCTTCATTGACATGTTGTTGTTTATATATTCTAAAGGCATGCAGGAGATGTGAGAAATTATGACATACCTGTTTATGTTTGTGTGAATTCATGCAACTGTATTTTTTGCTTTGAAAAGGTACTGATACTTATATGTCTATTTTTTTAGGGTACATAGGTTTTATATCATGTTTGTACTTGAATGTGATCATGCAGTCTTCATTTGTTATAGAGCTTCTGAAAGCCTAAAGAGCTCTTTGTGTATGTTTGTGTTTTAACAGCTACTGAAAATTAGTCTTTACATGATTAATAAATGCTTCTAGAACTTAAGAATTGGGGGGTAAGTGGGGTGTCAAATGAACTGAATTATAATAAATCACGATAGAAGACATGGTAGAATGGGTTATTTTTCAAGAAACTGAAGTGCAGAGCAGTTCTGAAATAAGAAAAATTCGGGAGGATCCATATTTCTGTCTCATGCTCTGAGTATTCATAGTATGCTTCTCTGGTTTTCAAACATTAGAATCAGAATACATAAACAACAACAACAAAAGTAGAAACACATACTTAGCATTTAGTTTGTATGTATCAAGTTATGACGACTCCCGGCAAATTTTCATTTAGAGCATGAAGTACGTTCACACTAATGGTTTTTGCATTAAGTTTTTTTTTTTTATGATTTGCCCAGTAGAAAGTTAAACCTGTCTCTCAAGTATTTGTGTATTTCAAGAAAACCGTTTTTTTCCTAACTCGTAATACTAATTTTATTCTTCTCTGCTTTACTTGTAAATGTTTCTCAGTGTACCACAGATATTTTTCATGCTGTATTGTAGAATGACTTTTAAAAGTTTTTTAGTATGTCTTTTACACTTGTTCAGGTTTTTTACATTCACTTTTATTAATGCTTTGAAATTTACCTCATGTGCTTTGACCTGAGGTCTGAACTGTCAACTGTGTTCCATGAAGAAAATAAAACTCAGAAAGTTTCATATTTCTATAGCCTGTATCTGATACTGGCTTATTGTTCTGCCTTACTGGCTGATATTATGCCTTAATTTTTCCTCAACTGTGCAATAACATTTAAAAAAATCTCTGAGTTACAACTTTTTAAAAGATGTATTTTCTGCTCCTAAGTTTTATGTCTTAGATTTTGCCATGATGTAATCTTTGTAGGGGTAGGAGTGGTGGTGGTGGAATTCTTGCTTTAGGAAACAAAAGGCGAAATTAAAATGCGCTGTCTTAAAAACAGGCCTTGAAAGATAAGGAGAATGAAGAGCTTGATATTCAGTTGAAAGTGTTTGATGAGAACAAAGACGAAGACTTGATTGAACTGTCACATCGTCTCAATGATATCAGAGCTGAAATGGAATATCCTTTGTAGAAATGGTGTTATTACATTTGTTTAATAACTATTAAATGAAAGGTAGAAAGCTTTACATGCAATTGATTTGTCGCAGTTGCAGATTTTGCAGGGACTTGCTCAAGCACATCTCATTCCACTTGTTTTTGTTAAAAACTTACTTAGAAAATTAGTATTAATATTTGTGATTTCAATGTGAATAATTAGGAACTCAGTATGTTGTGAATAGCATTTACTAAACTAAACTAAATTTTACTAAACTAAACTCTGGCTTGTGATACATGAAAATATAAAATAACAACTTAGTTTTGATAACTAAGTTGTAAGAAAAAATATTATTTTTTTATTCTTATTTATTTTTAATTCGTGCATTTCCTTAACAATGTTTGCACTGATATGAATGAAGTATTTCACCTATTGTACAATATGTTGAAAGATACTACTTCTGAAGGCTACTTGTTGTCGATTCTCCAACACTTCCTTCTCATCAGGAATGATTACTATGTCAGGTAAGAGTCAGCTGTCAGGGTTGATATTTGGAGGTGTTAAGGGGAAGAATAAAATAAATTGAGTGGCTCATGATCATTTACGAGTAGTTTGCTCTGTAGCTGATATGTTACATGATGCTTGTTTTTCTGCTCAGTGTTAATTTTATAAAGATCATATTAAATATAATACTTGTTTAAAAGACTTGAGACTTACTTTCTCTAGCACCCTCATCCCCTAATATTTTAATTTATTAAGCACATGTCAGTTGAGTTTGATAGTTTCTGGGGCTTCAATGAACTTATGTTAGTTGTATAACTAGTAATTCAAAAGTCTTTCACGATGCTCTGCATCTTCTTTCCTCTTTAAGCTTATCTTTACTGTATGTGCACCTCGTTGTATCTTAGCAGTGTAGAAGTACTACGTATAGCTTTTTGTTTTAGGAAATGTTTTCCTGTAAGTTAATGATAAAAACAATTGATGTGCAAAATGAAATTAAGAAGTAAAATATAACCTGAGAAATCTTCAGTTCTTAATTTTTTGGGGAAGTTTGAAATATTGCAAGTTCAGGCTTGAGCATTTCCTACTTTGAAAACTCAGTGCTATGTGGAATTGAGGTGTGTAATACACTGCACTGGTTACAACTAACAATTCTGAGCACAGAATTCTCTAATGTTACAGGACCCTGATACAGTTGTTTAGAGAGGAATATCAATCGATTAACTTAACAGTAAAATAACTCTGCAAGTGTATTGATAACTTACTAAAGAATTTCTGCAGCGTATGTTGAAAATACTGAAGTAGTTAATGTTGTAATAGTGCTTTATTAGCCAGCATGCAAGTAATACTTGGCTTGATCCTTTTACTGGCAAATGTAAAATTCTTATATTAGGAGTTGCCCCATTTTCCACTCCTTGTTGCATAAATTATTGTTCATGTTGTCTTGTAAAATGTGTTCTTTGTTAGACCTCAGTATTACAAGATAATCGAAGAATGTGTATCACAGATAGTATTGCACTCTAGTGGAATGGACCCAGATTTTAAATGCAGAGGAAGAATGGATGTGGATTTTACTCACCTTGTTGGTTTGTATACTACAAGCAATCTTACATTGTGTTTTACTAAAGTGTATGTTTTCCTTTCTGTGCTGCTGTCTAAAAATCTTGCATGAATTTTCTCAGTTTTATAGAAACCTGCATGTAAGTTACAGGTTTACTTGTAGGAAAGGTCAGATTAAGCTCTGCAGCCCTTAATAAATGACACAGATGAAGTTTTATTCTCCAATGTTATATTGGCATATATCTGAATCTGATAGTCTTGCTAAGTAAAAATTGCTTTTTCATAAATTTTATGAATTTCAGGTCTGTAACAAGTACCAAAATTTGTATTAACATTAACTGTTAATGAATTTTTAATTGTTATAGGGTTAATTCTAAGAATATTTTCCAGACATTTGAGATGGTTTAGTAAGCTAAACTAGTCAGTTGAACATCCAGAGTCCTGCAGTTCTTTATGTCATCTGTGAAAGAAGCAGCTGAATAAATACAGTATCAATTAAATGGCAGTTAACAGCATTTAAAAGTTTTGCTGTAAGCTTTTCTTAAGATGGGTGGAATAGACTGTGTTCTTTAAATAGTGGCATCCTCTGGAGTAAATGTTTCATAGAAGGAAGTAGTTACTCTTTGAGAACATCTTCATTTACCAAAAAAGCTTTTTTGGTAAAAGAAGGTGAGAAAGGATGCTGTACAGGTTGCGTTGGAAGGGTGGGGAAGAACTGCTTTCTGAAAAAGTAACTTCCACATCTAAAAAGGTGTATCTGTATTTTATTTAGTTATGACTAGGAACCTGGTCACTTAATCTTACCTCAAAATCTTTTCCATTGATCTAGTAGTTGAGGGAATAACTGGTTTGTCTATCCATGCCAGTTCCTACTTATAATACTGTTAATTTTGTTTGCTTCACTTATAAAAAGTATATTTTTTACCATCCATTATAAACCAATAGAAATATTTTGTACCACTGAGTGAAGAAACCTGCTTTATAGCCTGTCCAAATTGTCTTCACCTCTGAATTTTACTAAAATGAGAAGCAGCTCAGTTTTGGGTTTCTTATCTCAGAAGGAGGCTTTCTGAATTGAAAACTCAGAAGTAACTATTACTTCATGCTAGTGTAGGAGTCCTTTTTCACCTAATACTTAGGAGTAGATTAATCTAGAAGGGCAAAAATCATTATGTACAAACTGTAATCTGTTAGAGACAAAACAAGCTGTAGTTATTCATATTAAAAAAATAGTAGTTGTCTTCTCACAGCTTTTTTTTTCATAGTCATAGATTTTGCTCATCAAAATAATTCAACAAATGTTTGGTCAGATCAGCCTAGTAATTCATTTTATCTTTTGTTTCTTGCTTTCGTGTCATGGTGCAATTGTGGTTGGAAGGGACCCTAGAGCTGTGGAGCTGTGATGTTTTACCTGACTTTTGTGTGTTCAACTTTCAGATGCATGTGTGGACAAAGCTAAAGTAGAAGAGAGTGAAAAAAAGGCAGCAGAATTTTCCAGAAAAGTAAGTCCTTGTCACTACTCTTTTTAAGTTATGGAACAGAAGTCTGACGAGAATGCTATAGGCTTGTTTCACAGTAGAAACTTAATGGAAATTTGGAAACAATGAATCTCACAGGCAGGAGTCCTGTTCTTCCACAGTTAATAGCTCTGGGGGCGTTGCTGTGCAAGGCTCAGATTCCAGCTTCCTCCAAAATCAAAAGCAGGTGATTACTATTAGCTGTGAATATTTTTCAGTTGCATCAATCTGCTGTAGATAACTGATGGGAAAAGATTTCCACTTGCTACTATTTTGTCCTGAAACGTGTTGCACTTTAGGTGTTTAACTATGACTAAATAACGCTTTTTAAAAAGGGGGGGAGAGGGGGAGGAGTGCAGAGAAGAAGAAAGGAGTTGTCTTAGCTCTTCATCTAGTGCTGGCTTCAAACCTGAGTAAACTTACCTAAGGCAGGGTCATTCAATGTTTCAAAAAGCATCAACTCTAACTATGGAGATGCTAACACGAAAAGACTGCTTTAGCTCCTTATAATGCCCAAGATGAAGTATTATGTTATGGGGAAGAATAGCTTCTTTCCGTATTATTCACATTTGAGCCTTATAGGGTATTTTAGAACTAGTTTTGCAAACTACTACTTTCTTCTGGTCCAGTTCTCTTCTATTAGGAACTTGATAACTTAGCCTTTCAGTTATGGGAAGTCTTGAAATATTATCAGAAACGTAAGAGGTTAGACCTTTAAAATAATTTTGTAGAATTCCAGCTGTGTTCTTCTTGTAATAAAAATGTTTGTATTTCTGAATTAATTGATGCTTATCCTTCTGCTTTATCACTGTTCATATTTGTGCTGACAGTAGCTTGATTAATGCTTTCTCAAATTACTTTTAAAATTATCTAGGAGATAGGAATTTAATAGATAATTTGTTAATCTCAGCTGATCACACAGTCTGTTTAATGATATGAAATGCTCAGTGCACTATATTGGCTGCAATAGTACTTAAAACCTGTACATAGTGTTGTATACTAAAACATTCAAAATTTTGATTTAGCCTAAAAAGCCTTTTGCAGACCAAAGTGTAGTATATTTTTTTTTTGAATGTAATAAGAATTTCAAAAGAAATCAGTGAAACAGTCAATTTTTCTTCCTTCAGTGTTAAATGGGGTTTCATTTTTAGTACAGTTATGGTGTCTGAATTTTAGAGAAGGCAAATTGTTGTAATGCTACTGTACAGAATCCTGCATCAGAATGTACTTTGTTGCTGCAAGTCAACATGTGTTCTTAGTGATTGGTTGTTTTGTCCTGAGGAAGAGTGAGTTAACAGAAGCTTTTGAATATGCTAATAATGTATTAAGCCTAGCAAACAGTAGCAGGATGAAAATATAGTAAGAATTTTTCACAGTCATACTTAAATATTATAAATAGGACTTTTGCATTTTATATAGGGACATCAAGAGTATTAGTGACTTACTTGGATGCCTCCTTGTACATTGACTGGTGCATTGACTTGTACATTGTCTATATTTGTTATTGTTCAAAGAATTCATGAAATTATAATATCTAGTATGGACAAACACTTTTGTGATTATGATTGTTACAGTTTGATGAAGAGTTCACAGCTCGACAGGAGGCACAAGCGGAACTGCAGAAACGAGAGGAGAAAATCAAAGAACTTGAAACAGAAATCAAACAGCTACGAACACAGGTAATAAAACTAAATTACATTAAGTTCTTCAACTGAAAACTGTTTTTACAGAATCAAGAGGAAAATGCCATGGAGAATGTTCTTTCTGTAGAATTTGAAATGTATGTTATAGTTGTATTGGTTTGTTTTTTAAGCAGTGTAAACTACTAAAGCTATTTAATGGAAGTAGTCTTTTTCAAATAGCAGTGTGTTCAAAATCTGTCATAAATACCTGCTTTATTGAAAAAAAAAATATTTAGGCTATGAAAAGTTTAAATTTAGCCTGACATTTTTTTCCTTGTTGTTTATGCCTTAATATCACTAATTCTATATGTTTTGCAGAAAGTGTTGTTTGTTTTTTTTTTTTTCAGAAGGCTTTATATCTGAGTAGCAAAGGTAGAAATCATGATAGCTGTGCATGCATAACTTAAATGCCTTTCAGAATGTGCATGCAAGCGAAGTCTGATAATAAATCTTTTTTTTTGAACTCCAGATACCAGGCTATAGCCTTTTCTAAAATAATGTTGAAGTAGTTTTATACAGTATAAGAGAGAAATGTAACAAAAAATTCAAAACCTCATGGAAGGGGAAGGTGATACATAATTTCAGCCAAGCTGATTTTACTTGAATTTATTTCTTCATAAATTTTGCTCACAGGTACCAAAAATGTGTGTCCAGATTATCTATCCAGGATCACCTGTGAGGTGGAAAGCAAGAGATGCTCTGTGTTGAGTTGTCATTACATCTATTGGGTGATTCTTGTTTAATGATGAGTGGGGTTTTAGGCAGGCCTTTGGCAACCAGTAGTTGTTATAGTTTGATCCTTTTGCCTCACTCTAGCTAATTTGCCATTCCGTGAGCATTAGCCAATGCCTGCCTGTTGCACTTTTTCTAATTGTGGGTACCTTAATAACTGTGGTCTTCCTGTTTGTATTAGAAGAGGAGGAACAGCATATGTTGTGTTATAACCTGGTTGCCATTTTTTGCTGTCAACATGCTGGTCCTTTTCTGACAAATAATCTGTGCTGTAGCCTTTTCACAGCACAGGCTTTCTTGTTACATTGTTACTTGTTACTATAAACATGTTACATTGTGTTTAACAGATGGATTGCTGTACATTGTGTCACTGGTTTTCAATGCAAGTCATTGATGTAACTTGTGGTTACAAACCTTATGGTTTCTATTGCTGTTTTCCTTCACAAACGCTTCTTTCAATGCCTCATGCCTCGTTCCTATCCACTTTAATGTTTGTTACAAATCTCTACAAGACAGTTACACTGAAATTTGTCAATCAGTTTTAATGAGTTCTCCACCAGTTGTTGCATTACAGTTGTAATAGTACACTTACATAGTTCATGGGACAAAGAAACACATTTTAAGCAAAGTCAATAATTTATTTTTAGTCTAATCAGTTAATAATCCAGCTATATCATTGCCAACACAGTTCATATTATCTAGACATTACAGCTCATTCTTAATAGTGGTACAGTTAAGTGATATATCTTAACTTTGTCATATCTATACCTTTTTTTTTTATCTTGAGTTATGTTTCCCATTACATTCTCAACTAGCTTAGAATGTGATGGCATTTATTTCTAGGTGCACTCAGTTTTTTTCAGCATGGTATTTTACTTTTTTTTGGGGGGGGGCGGGAATTGGTTTCATTAAACTAGAAGTAGTAAATAATTAGGCATGGAAAGAGTATGTAAATTAGATTAAATGAAAAGCCTGCATTATGTAATGATTTTGCAACAAAAGATTCCTTAGTATGTAGAGGATTTACAATATGAGCTCATGTGGCATTTTGTGCATATCTCCGGAAACTGTTTTTAAACCATTTTTAAAAGACAGTTGTCTGTGAATTTGACACTCTAATAATTTATTGGAATGGATATTGGAATTGCTCATTTTTCCTTCCTATCCAAGTGCAGTTTTAAAACCAAGCATGATTGTTTCACTCCCCACCCCCATGCCCACACAAGATGTCAGGATAGTTACAACAAGTCTTGTACTGCCCTAGCTGCTTCAGTGATTTAATTCAAAAACCTTCCACCAGCAGTTTAGTGTTCTTAAAATCAAGTGTGGTTATTACCATCTTTGCCACAGCTCTCCAGGATGTTCTGAGTGGGGAAATTATTTTAGTTCATTGATTAGATATAAATTGATATGTTGTTCTCTTCAATGTTAGTGCTACTAGTACATTGTCTTGAAAATGGAAACCATTTGTTTATAAATACTAGGTGATTCAGTTTACTTGGTAGTTTTATGGTACATGGTATTTCTCATTTTATTGAGGTACAGTAGACTACAAGGTAGACTAGTCAGTTTATATTAAACCTCCTTCCCTCCCCAGATGAAAAGAATTGCTCTTTTAAATTTCAGGCTCCAGTCCAGACAAGTCAACAGACAGAAGCAGCACCACTTCCTCCAATATCAACTGAGAATGTGACACCTCCTCCTCCAGCACCACCTCCTCCTCCGCCATTGCCTGGTGATGCAGTGCCACCCCCTCCACCACCACCACCACCACCGCCGCTGCCTGGTACACAAGCAGTGCTACCTTCGCTGCCGCTTAGTGCAGTAGTGCCACCTCCTCCGCCACTGCCTGGTACAACACCGATACCTCCGCCACCACCGCCACTGCCTGGTGCAGGATCGACACCTCCGCCACCACCGCCACTGCCTGGTGCAGTATTGCCGCCTCCACCACCACCACTGCCTGGTGGATCGCTGCCACCTCCACCACCACCGCTTCCTGGTGCAGCAGTGCCGCCTCCACCACCTCTTTTTGGTGGGCCTCCTATGCCACCACCTCTTGGAGGTGTTCCTTTTGCTCCCTTTGCAGTGATACCAGCATTACCACATGGAATGAAGGAGAAGAAAAAATATAAGCTGGAGGTCTCTATGAAGAGAATCAACTGGTCAAAGGTATTACAAAATGTTTTGTTTTTTTCTCCCATTGATTAAAAAGTGGCTTTTGAGGAAGAAGGTGAAATGTCAGGGTTTATATTAAGTAGCTGATAGTACTCATGAAGCTTGGGGAATTCATTAAATCCTGTATCCAAAATACTTCTAATGCACTGGTTGTGATGCAGCTGGTGTTGGTTTTCGAGGACACCTTATCTTATGGGGGAAACTCAATGTATTTAATACTCAGCATCTTGTATTCTGGGGATATGAGTAGCTAGCAGATCTGAAATTTTTTTAGTAATTTTCTGTAGAGGTAAGTTCTATATGTCTTTAGCTGTAACTGATGCTTGATTTGCCAAGTAAAAACTTCAGAAGTTAAATGTGTTTCAAGTAGGTTTAAGTTATCAGGTAGTTTAAGTGTATACTTTAATCATGGTACTACTATTTTCAGTAGATTGATTTAGTTAAAAGATTATTAGTGTTTAGGATTGGGGAAATGAATTTTGAAGTTGACAGTTGGGTAGAAAACTGTTGAGAAGACTGCCATTTATGAATCTTGGCAATCTGACAGTTGACAGAGGGATCCGGAGTCGAGGGATGACTACCACTGTGTTTACTTAATTGAAGTAGCTGTGGCTGAGTAATAAGAAAGGATTTTGTAAAAGGAGATGAACTTAGAGGAATTAAGTCTCTAGCAATAAAATGCAGTAAAACCTGGTGTGAGTAGTTAAATGGTATTTTGGAAGGCACTGCAAAGCAGAGCTCTGATTTTGTTTTCTTGTGCTGTGGATTAAGCAGTCTGTTGGAGTCATAAATTGTGTATTTTGTATGTACAATAAAAAATATTTTTGCTTGTTTTTTTGAGGGCAAGTTGAAAGTGGATCAGGCTTACAGAATGTGTAATTTTAGGTCTGATACTGTCTCAAAAGCACAGTGCTTTGGTTATGCTTTCTAGGAATTTCTTTAAAAAAAAAAAAAAAAGAAGTTTGAAGGAAACCGTTATGGTAACATTGATAGTGTTTTTTTTTCCTAGTTTCCTTTCAAGAGCCTTTCATGAAACATAAGAACTTGACTAGTCCCTCAAAAAAATGTTGGGAAGGCATTGGAGAAAGAATTGTTCCTAGTAAAAAGCAACATCCTTATTTGCTGTGATAAGTATACAGACCTACACCACTAAAATTTTCTTGTAAGGACAGATGTCTTGATGTGAAGTTGTGTTATTTTGGGACTAGTCCTCTGAATAAATAATTTATTTTAAATTAAATCATTAATAAGGAAATGAAACAAATGATTGTGTTCACATATTTCTTCTTGTGACATGTTCTGTAAGTTTTAAAGGAAATTTGATTTTCATTGCCTTACTTGTCAATGATAGTTGTACTAGAAAGCATGCTTTAACAGCAACATCTTCCATAACTCTGTTGTTAAGATAAATGCCTTTCTCTGGGAAAGGCAGGTGTTTACACTGATATTGCAGAGCTTATCATAAGGTAGTAAAGGCAGTGGTGTTACATTGTATCAGTTTTGTTTAAAGTTTTTACTGCACTGGATTTAGCAGTATGCAGTTTTAATAGTTAACTGGTAGAGTCATTGCTGGTAGAGTCATTTAACTGGTAGAATTGAGAAGCTAATGTCCCTTGCCATTTATTTTACAAGTACAGGTGATACGATGTAGTATGTGAGTTTTTAAATGAGATTTTTTGGCAGAAATTGTTTGATGTTTGGCAGATGAGCAACCCATGAAGCTAATTTAGTTCCCAAACAGTTCTTTTTGAAAAAGTCCCTGGGTTGCACATTGCTGAGTGAGATTATTTGTTTCCATGAAAACTTTCAGAGGATGTGTACTAGGCTTGGTGGATTTATGTAATGACAGCAAGAGATGGTGGAAGGTAACTACTTACTTTCTTTTCTGGTCCTTTGACTGCTCTGAGGTACGTGGAGTATCACCAGAGAGTGAATGCTTACTGAATTTTTCTTCTGCAGAATGTTGCTTATATTGTTGATCCATGCCAAAGTGGACTGAAAAACTGTCATGATCGAGGTGAAAAGAAGGGGTATCATTCTATTAGGCATGAACAATGAATTGTAACTTTGCATCAAGTTGCATAAGTATATACAAACATTGAGGAACAGTTTTAAAGTAGTTTGCAACTAGCAGTTATCCAACAGCATTCTGTTTTATGTAGAAAGCTTCCATGCTGTTGAAGTCTAATCTAGTTTTATGTTCAGAGAATGTGGATATCTGTGTTGATAATGTAATGATGCTTAAGTTCTTGATCTGGAATATTCATTGATTTCAAATTATTTCTGTGGTAGGGCAGGGTTGTGGCCACTGGGAGGAGCTATGGGACTGCTTAAGTGAAATATTTGGGCACCATTATCTTAGACTGAATGTGAACTTTTACCATATAGCCCATTTATATTACTTATACTTAAGCAAACTTTTTTTTTTTTTTTTAATCTTAAAATATAAGCATCTACATGAACAGTGAAATAAAAGGACAGTTTCTGATTTGCCAACATGTGACCATCGTTACTTGTTGAAACATAACTTTGTTGGGGGATGGTGTGGAAGAAGTTACACGGGTATACATGTACGATTAGATATATATTTCTGTAAAATTTCTCTTTGATCAGTGTAGCCACTGTTCTTTGCATCGAAGAGAGGAATTTGAGTTACTTCATAATTGTGTATAACATCTATTGAGTACACACTCAGTAAGTTTTCAGACAATACCATGGTGAGGGGAAGTATCGATCTGCTGGAGGGTAAGAAGGCCCAGCAGACGATCCTGGAAAGGTTGGATCATGGGCAGAGGCCAATGGGATGAGGTTCAACATGGCTAAATGCCAGATCCTGCACTTTGGCCACAACAACCTCATGCAACACTAAAAGCTTGGGGCAGAGTGGCTTGAAAGCTGTGCAGAGGAAAAGGGTCTGGGGGTGTTGGTCAGTGCTCAACTGATCGTAGAAAAATAAATAAAATCTTATAAACTGCCATCAACCTACACAACAATTTTTGTTTGAATGTATTCTTTAAGAATTACTGATTTTTAAGACAACATATAATACATAGAACTTAACTAAACGCATTTCAGTCCAGTTATTGCAACAGTCCTGTGGAGTTGGCTTTAATTTGGCTATTAACAGGATGAGTTATTAACTTTGGAAGTGACATTTCTGTTTCAGGTTGAGCCCCAAGAAATAGCAGAAAGCAGCTTTTGGGTAAAAGCTGAAGAAGATAAATTTGAAAGCCCAGAATTATTTGCAAAATTGGCAATCACCTTTGGAACACAGGTGAAAGGTATGTTCTTCTTTTACTTTTTGTCTCATGCTTTTATTAAGTGTAAAGCTGCAGTGGTGTTTTTTTTATGCTTTGTGGATTGCTATAGAATTATACAATACTTAAAGTAGGAAGATGATTTACAATGTGTATTTAAGCATTGCCATCTATTACAGGAATTGTATTCCTCTCACTTCATGGCCTTTGGTGGTAACAACCTTATGTAATAATGCATTCTGAATCTGCCTAGTATGTTCTAGACAGGTTGAATCTTCAATTTAAACCCTGATCTATCTTCAGATTCTAACACTAGCATCATGCTCATCCGCATTAATGCTCCTAGCTTCACAGACTGCAAGTTGTCAGGTTCTTCTTCATCACTTGGGAAGGGTTTAATGTGTAATAAACATGTGCTTATTTGTACCACTGTGGTAAATGAAAATCCCACACCACTGAAAATGAGACTTAAGAATCTAGCTATTACAACATGCAGTTACATCACAACTCCTGTAATGTGCCTGATGCCACGATACTGGAATCTGCGAGTTGAAACCATTGTTCTCTTCTAAGTTTTTGAGTGTTGTTGGGGTGTGTTTTTTGTTGTCGTGTTTTGTTTGTGTGCTTTTAACCTGGGGACAAACAGTTAAATAACTGCTTGGTCCGATCAGGTGATAGAGCCATTTGTTTACAACAGAGGCTACACTCTTGCTCCCTTTTTGTGAAGGTAAGTTCAGAACTCTTTGCAACACTTGTGGTTAATCACTTCTTTCTCCTGAGTCTCAAAGACATAGTTTTTGCAGAGTTATCTCCTCAGAGTCTTCTTCCACTACAGGTGTGTGATTAGTCATACAAATTTCATTGATACTTGGCAACTACAGCCAACTCTTGGTTGGCTTAAAGCTCAGACTAGATACATTTCATGACTGTTTGTAGCATGTTTTGTAGACATACATCTCCTTAATCTTTGTGTGCACACACACTGTTTAAACTTTGCATAATACCATGGAAAACATCAGGTACTTTACTAATTTTTGGTGAAATGCAATGAGCAATAGCTGTTTCTCTGTTAGCAAGAACTATGCTGGAGCTTGTGTCAAGTCCACATGAGGCTGGCTGCTCAATGTGTCATGTAAATAGCTTTTCTGGTAATGCTTCTAGATTTAAAACAAAAAAAAATCCTTAACTTTTTGAACACTTATTTAGGTAGGAAATAATATGTTAATATTTATATCTTGAGTCAGGAAGGCAGTTACGGACAACTGAAGGTTGGTTACTTAATGCTATTTTGAACTTTTTACAGCCTTCAGATGGCCTTTAAGTACTTATGAGGCTGCATATAGTCTGTTGAAGTCTTATCGTTAACTGTAGATTACAGTGAACTAGTGATCGGTAGTTCATATTTGGCCATTTATTCGTAATTTGTTTCAGACATTTGAAAAGGAGCAAGTACATTTGAAGTATGGTTTAATAATAACTTAATCGGGAGCTAATGAGGAAGCCCAACAAATTAGAATTTAAGAAGTGTTGGGTAGTTAAAGAAAGAATTTGTGCTTTAGCCGCAGATCTTTCATCCATTTGTCAACAAGTTAGAATATGATATACTTGAGGGATGTGGAATTCTGGAAGCTGAATGGAGGCAGATGTTCAAGTCAGATGATCAAGTATTTGTAGGCCAAATCTTAGTGAGCAAACAAACATTTAGGAATTTGAAGTGAATGTTAAGTATTTTTGCATTGCGGTTTTTACTTCAACTTTTTGGCTTTGAGAATTAACATTTCATGTGATGCCTTGTGTTTTGATTGTAGCGAGTCTTCTGTAACTTCAACTAGAATCCCTTTCTGTCAATTACAATAGGATTTTATTACTTTTAGAATGAATTTGTATTGCACTTAGGGGTCTGTGATTTCCTGGCTGTTGTATGAATTACAGGGATAATTCAGAAAAAGGATACATAGTTTTGCCATCTGGTTAAAATAATGTGGAGTTTGCCACTGATTTGGGTGTGACAGCAAACCAATAAAACCTTCAAGGAAAAAACACATGGCAGCAGATATTTGCAATGGATTGAGAACCTTCTAAGTGAAAATGACAAGCTTCTGCCTTAAGCTGAATCCTTTCATCAGCAATCTGAAGGAATGTTTCTGAATTCCTGAGAAAGCCACTTCATTAAAAATGTTGAAAAAACTCTTCTGAAATTTTGACGTAGTTGTCGGTTTCATGGGAGAAAATTCTTGTTGACCTAGTTGCGCAGTTATAAAACAAGAAGCAATAGAAATTCTCTGCGTAGGTTAACTTGGTGATAGCCTTGCAGATAGTTTTTGTGTTAATCCTTTTGCCATTCTCATTTAATGGTTGTAGAAAATAACATGCCATGACAAAGGATGGGGAGAAATAAGAAGACTACATTGCTGTTTCTACCTTGAGCCATCTTTTTTTATTCTGTCATAAACTAGATAATTATATCAGCCAATTTTCACATGGGCTACCTACTATTTTTGGAGAAGTTATTGCATATTGCCCAGGACAGGTTATTTAAACACCTATTTATTGTACTTTCATTTAGCTGGTAGTAGAGAAAGTTAGCTTGTTCTTTCTTTGAGTTCAACTTTACTTTGATACTTAAAAAGCTTCTAGAAGTTCAGGAGCTTCAGAGTATCTAGTAGTAGCATATGCTGAAATTATTGCATCTCACAAGCAACTGCCTTCTTAAACTGCTATTCGCAAAGAGAAACATTAAAATAATAATCAGCATTTTTATTTCTCACACTTTGCCTTAAAAACCACAGGCATCACATTAACCATCTAAATATTAATTTTAAGCATAATCTAGAGTCAATTTTTTTCTCTGCTTTAGTCCCATTTTTTTGGTGTGATCTACATGTATATTACAGGAGAATTAAAGAAATGCAAATAGAAACACGTTTTATATTCTCTAGAGAGCACAGTCAATGTGTAAAACAAATACACATTTTGAGTGGGTGAGTGGGAGAAAACTGACTGTCTTTAAAAACTGACTATCTTTAAAAACTTTTTCTGATGACTTAGTGTTTATCATCTTGTATTTCATGGGATTTTGGAATGCCTGTGGCAGTAGTAACTGAAGTGAAACAAATGATATGCACTTATTAATAAGTTGCATATTCCTTCAAGGTTGCAGCACTCAAACTTGATTAAACCTTTAAATTCTATCCATGATTCTTTGGGGCAATGAAAATGACATTTTGCTTCCTTCCCCCTGCCCTTGTTTAACATAGTTTTGTTTAAGATACTCCAGGAGTAACTTAATCTTGGTTCTCACCAAGATTCTCTATGCTTCCTCATTATCTGAGCACCACCTGCTCTCAGGGAAGTGGTACTTCCAGAAAACTGACCTTAGGGAAAAATAAGTCATAATAGTACACCTCTGAAGCATACTTTTTGTTAGTTAAAGAAGTATTACATTCATTGGTTAGCTGCTTAGAAATTTAGGAATATTTAATCACAGCTCCAGAAGCAAAAAGGAATGTTCCCTTATTTTACCTTGCAGGTAAAATAATTTTATTTTAATTATAGTTAGATACAACTTTTCTTTTAAAGGGTAAGTGTAAGGTTAAAATCTTTGCTTGCTATTGTGACATTAAATGTTTAATATGGATGTACAGTGTAGAATGTCTTCAATTAGGTTTAAATTACTACTAATAGTCAAACTGCAGTATTTAGTATGTAAAATCAGTTATGAAGCCGAAACATGAAAATACGCATTGTGCAGGGAACAAAGGAATCATTCAATAGTTTTGTCTGTAAGACTTCCCAAGGTTTTGAGATCTTGGGATTTGATCTAAGTTAACTGATATCCAATTATCCCTGTCTCAGTACAGTCTTGAAGGATTTTCAGTTTTCTTCAAAAGAAATATATATTTGAATACCTTTTAAGGGCCCGTGATGAATGGACTCCAGGGCTTCAAATTTTCATTAAAGATAAACATTTTGAGCTTGGAATTGTGCTTCCAGTTGCAGAGCTGGGGATGATGATTACAGTCTCATGGACTGTTTTTGCAAGTAAATAGTTTCATATTGGGTATACTTGAAAAAGAATGGGCAACTGTTGTTATAAAGTTGGGTGATATTAAGAAATAGGACAGTCTCTGTACTGTAGGTGGCAATTAAACACACAAATGTATGTTTATTTCCTTGTGTAACTGTACAGAAAAAAACAACAACAAAAAAAATAATACCTTCTGTACCCTAACTAGTTTCTTTTTTCTTTTAACTTGGTTAATAGTGAAAGATGACGTAACATCATCCAGAATTTTATAAAGTAATATTAAAGAGTATCAAGAGAATGTGAAATTAATTCATCAGTCATCCTCCTTAGCTGGATTACATAGTGTTGACTGTGCAGTCTCTTATGTCAAGTGAGGAGATCCAAGAGATCAAATAAATGCATCTTGTCCTTATGAGTCTGTTAAGTGATCTTAAGGAAGTAATTAATTTCTGTTGATGTACAGTGGAATACTGAGATGCGTTGTCGACTAAGAATGACACCTTTTTGACAGAGATTGTCCCACTACTAAGATTTTAGAATTAAAAAATGAATGCACTTTTGATTAAATGACTAACAATTTTCTAGAGAGGGACTTACTTTAATGAAGTTCAACAAGAATTTACGCTCAGTGTTTTAATCCAGTCGTTACACATTTCTGTAAGTTTGGGCTGCTGAATTTTTTGTTGTTGTTGTTTTGGACAGGCTGGACTGGATGAAGAGCTTGACTATACGTCGAGACTTTTTTTAATTTTTTTAGTGTTCTTGGCAAGAACTTTCCTAATAGTCAATCTGTAAAAGCATATAATCAGATCATTGTTGTTCAACTAGAAAAATAGTTTTTTGAATTTTGCTTTCATCCCTTTAACTGACATAAAACTCTATGGTCAGCTATGTGCATGACAAAAAGAACATCATCAGCAGTCTGGTATCTGTGATGCTTTGTGAAACATGATCTCAAGAGCTCCATGTGTTGTTTAATTTTGTGAATATTTGAGGC